TTAGTTCAATAATCTTTTAAATATACAAAATATATACTTTTCTACTATGTCTATCCTTATTTGATTATAGTGTGTTAAGATACTTGTTAGGATCTCTAACGTCACACTTTTTACTATTAAAGTTTTTATACTAAATTTGTAATTTAACTTTCTACACTAGTTTTTTTTTTTTTAATTAATGACATTCATAATCTCTCAATCTTGTATCAAAAAAATTTTTTATTTTTATTTTCTCTGTGAATACATGTAGTAAGTTAGGTGCTGACTTTTAAGACTTATTCAGTTATTATTATTATTATTATTCCTTTTTTTAATAAAAAACTAACCATAAATATAATATTTTTGTTTATATACAAAATTAAAGATTAAAACAAAATATTTGATTTTTTTTTAAATTCAACTTCATCGAAATTAAATACATAATTTGAAAGTTGAATTTGTCCTGAATTCTTCTTTAAGTGTTTCCTAAGTCACGATAATAGGAACCTTTCTTTAAAATATACATAATATTGTAGTTATTAGTTTCATTGGATCTAATCTTAAACTAATTTTATTTGATGAATCTTAATTTTGTTTTAATTTGTTTAGAGCAACAACACAATGGTGGAAATTTGGGTGGATAGTGTCTCATTGCAACCATTCACTCAAGAACAATGGAGAGCTCACCAAGATGAAGCAATTGAGAAGGTAATATCAATTTTTTTCCCTCAACTCATTTATTATTATTTTTTAAAATCACAAATATTGTTTCTTAAATCACAATCAAATTTTAAAAACCGTAGATTTCAAAATTTTGTTTTTGTTTGTAAAATTTCTTTAAAAATTTAACAATATTACTCAAGAATATATACAAAAAAATCTGTATTGCCATTTTTGAAAATAAATTATGATTTTGTAAATGTAATATTCTTTTTACAATATCATCTTAAATCAAAGGGTTAAAACACATGTTCGTGGGTTTGAGTAATTATCCCGACATGATGGTTATTGTATTAAAACAATAATAATAAAATATTTGTAAAATATTTTTTGTGCATTTATTTAAATAATTTTAGGTAATTTATTTTTCACTGTCTCCTATCACTCAGGTAAGTATGGAGTTTATGATCAATAATCTATATCATATTTTTTTATGAGTAACATTTTTCTTTGGTATAATATGAAAGGGTGGGAGATTCGAACACACGACATTGTTAACAAAACAACATATTTTTAATTTTTTTTAATTGAACGATTTAATCGAAACTTTATAATATATTAACGGCAAATTTGAGAATTTAAAAAGATTTAAAGTAAATTGAAGGGAGGAAAAAAAACCCGATATAGATTTAAATTACAAGATGTGAATTGGCAGTTTCGGAAGAGGAGAGTGAAAATCCAAGCAGTTGACAGAGAAGGCAATCCACTTCCGAATGCGAGCATCAGTCTACGACAATGGCGGCCTGGTTTCCCCGTCGGCTGCGCCATCAACCAGAACATTCTCAACAATGTCGCCTACCAGAACTGGTTCGCCTCACGCGGCTTCACCGCCACCACTTTCGAGAACGAAATGAAGTGGTACAGCACCGAGCAGACGCAGGGCCGCGTCGATTACTCGGTGCCGGACGCCATGATGCAGTTCGCCGGACGCCACAACCTCGTCGTCCGCGGCCACAACGTCTTCTGGGACGACGAACGGTTCCAGCCAGGCTGGGTGAGATCGCTCTCCTTTAGAGAACTCTATCGCGCTGCGCGACGGAGAATCAATTCGATCATGTCGAAATACAGAGGGCGATTAATTGCTTGGGATGTGGAGAATGAGGATCTCCATTTTAGGTTTTTCGAGGCCAGATTAGGGGGTCGTGCTTCCGGTTTGTTCTATAATTGGGCGATGAAAGCGGACGGATCGATTCCTTTGTTTCTGAACGATTACAACACCATTGAGTCTAGGGGCGATGCTTCTTCTTCTCCGGCTAGGTATCTTCAGAAGCTGGATGAAATCAGACGATTTCCTGGTAATAGCGGTGGCAGATTTGCGATTGGACTGGAATCGCATTTCGGTTCTCCTCCCGACATTGCTTACATGAGGTCCGCCATTGATACCCTTGGTTCTGCCGGAGTACCGATTTGGCTCACCGAAGTTGACGTTTCAAGCATGCCCAATCAGGTACACTGCTATAAATGTAATGTTCCTTCTGCAATTCCTTATGGTTGAACTTATCTGAATTTGAATCAAAATCATTTTAGGTGCATATTAAGTCATGTCTAGAGCCATAACTTAACATGTATCAGGGTAGAAAAATCTTTTGAGAATTTATGTGAAATATCAAATATATAGCAATCTATACTGATAATTTAACATAGCAATGTGTAACTTCTAAGTCCATAAGAGAGTGAAAAGATCAAAGGCATTATCTATTAGGCAATAATTAGCTTAAGTTTTTGGTCAAGAGATCAAGTGAGTAAGAATATTAAGAATATATATACAAAATAAAACATACTCTAATCCATTAGCTTGAAACTTTTGGTTCAAAGGTTGATTTAGTACATTTGATTAACGAAGTTAAAAAACGTAAACTACTAATTTCAACCAAGTATAGAAACTCGTAAAGTTTCGTTTGATAACCATTTTGTTTTTTGTTTTTCGAACATTAAGCTTACCCCACTACTTCCACCTATATCAACATTTTAAAAACGCTTTTAAAGTCTAAGTCAAATTTTGAAAACCAAAAGTAGTTTAAAAAAATTTGGCTAAAAATTTAAATGTTCTAAAGAAATGTGAAAAACATATTAAAGAAATGGAACGAGAACAAGCATCATTTTTAAAAACAGAAAATTAAAAGCAAAATTATTATCAAACGGGTCTCTAACGTTTGTAATTAATGGTGAAACTTCTGAGACCCATGTAAATCACTCGTACTGAATAGCATGTAGTTATAGAACTGAAGCTTCCTTGTTGCTCTTGCAAAACTAACTTTATAGAACTCTTAAAGTTGCTAAAGACAAAAGGAAATGATGATGCCAAGTGTTGAATGGATGAAAATCAGTTGAGCCATGAATTTCGTAAGCTTAAGAATTAAGATGGTGATATTTTTTTTCTGGGTTTCTGTGGATCAAACAGGCTTATTATCTGGAGCAAGTTTTAAGAGAGGGATTTTCTCATCCCAAAGTGAATGGGATTGTGATATGGTCAGCATGGTCACCAGGGGGATGTTATCGAATGTGTTTGACAGACAACAATTTCCACAACTTGCCAACTGGTGATGTGGTAGACAAGCTGCTAAAGGAGTGGGGAATCAAAGCCTCAATCACTGCAACAACAGATGCCAATGGCTTCTTTGAAGCCTCGCTTTTCCATGGAGACTACGATGTGCAAATCTCTCACCCGTCTGTCACCAACTCCTCCCTCAATGCTCAGAAATTGAGTGTTGTTGCAGCATCAGAAGGTGATTCAGAGCAACAATCACATCTTCTGGTTAAAGTTCAAATCTGATTTGGGTGTTGATGAATATGGCGATTTGGATTGAATGGTGGATGGTGAAGCCTAATAAATTGAATCTCTTGGAGCAGACTGGGAGAGGTGGTGTTGGATCTGAATAATGGTGATGAAACATGTTGTGGCCATTGGAATTGAATACTAATGGTGAATAAACTTGGGCAATGTTGTTTTTCTCAGCTATTTTCATCTTCTTTCATGTTGTGATTTTTCAGTTTTGATATATATATATATTGTTTGATGGTACCGACAAGATAAGTTTAATATAGGGACTGAGCGGAGAAGGAAGAAGGGGCACAAGCCCCTGTTAGTTTGTCTGAATTTAAAAATAAATATTAGAACATTAAGATTTGAATAATATTTGGTTGATGTTACCATCTATCACTTATTGATCATTATTAAACTATATTTTTTTATTGTAAAATATACTTTTGTTGTTAGAGGTCTGAGGTAGGTGTCGTATTTGAACTTTTAGAATGGACATTTTTGATATGTGAAGTTTGGAATAAGGGTTTATTTGGTCTTTAAAATTTTAAAATAGACATTTTTGTCTCCTCGAGTTTTATAAATAGTTTTAAATGATTCATGAGTTTATTTGACCGTTGGTTGACTAATATTAAAATGATGTGTATAAATATCAATAACCCATCGTTTTCAATTATGAAAAAAAAAAAAATCCCCTATTCCATTAGTTAATGAATTCAAAGAAAATGAATATATGAATAAATGGAGATGAAAAATAATAAAAAATATATCTTTTTTTTTTGTTGTAATTGGATTCTTTCCATTTCATAAATCCAATTTTTAAAATAACTAAAATACTAATAAAATAAATAATAATAAATAAAACAAGTGGTAAGCACGTAATATGTAATATGTGGCAGTTATTATGGATTGAGTTTTATTTTTTAGATCCAACCTAATTATTTGGATTGTGAAAGCAACCCTGTTAAATAATCAATCCAACCCAATCCAATTTGGATTATTCAGATCATTTATTCAAAAAGTATCATATAATATATTTTAAATATTTTTTTTATATATTATATGACATTGCATCAAAATTCAAACAAATAAGCAATAACAAATTATTGAATATAATAAAAATAAAATAAATGTAACTAAATATATTTTGTATGGTGCGTAAAATAAATAATTGAAAAGTTAATAATAAATTCAACTTGATTCAACCCCAAAAAAACCTACAAATTTATAGAATTTTCATTTATTGGAGTCCAATCCAATCCAAAAAAATTTATAACTGGGTTGGATTTTTGTCCGGATCTTTTCTTGAACACCCTGGTATGGATATTCTTACATTGGTGCTATTTTTACAAAATTCTGTATCATGCAATAAATTTATATTATTATATATAGGCTAATTTTGATATTATCGAAAAGTTAATTTATTTAAATATATCCCAAAGCCGGCGCTGGAACATTCCGTGCTCTGCAGCTGAGCTGTCAACTATTTTACAATTATTGTTTTTGGCAATTCGCGCGCGCCCGCGTGTCTCGCTTGTTTGGCTGCCGCGAAAACGAGGGAAAATACTCTGCGTTATCTGCTTCAACACGACGAAAAAAAAAATGCCGCAAACCGACGATTTGTTGCTCTTCACAAACGCTAAACGCAACAGACAAATAAGAGAGATTAAGCTTCTCACGAGGCCGATATTCTTCTTCTTCTTCTTCCAGCAGCCGAAGAAAACCAAAGTTCGGGTGAATCTGCTAAAATCGCAATGAGGAAATCTGATTCGAGGTTAGAAATTAGCAGCACGCGGGAAACTGGTTGCTGTTGAGCTATTCTGTTTATCTTATGCAATGTCATTCTTCGTATTTCTATTATGTATTTGATCGACTTACTTTGCATTGTTACATTTTCTTATACGAGATTTCAGAATGCGGCTGGAGATTCTTGTTCCTCTTCTGTTAGTACGTGTGGAGCTGCTAATAGAGTAATACTGGCTGTTTCGTTGCTACTGCAGCGGTGAAAGATGATATATCGTGTATCTCGAGGTTAGAAATTAGCAATACTTGCGAAATTACTTGCTGTTCTGTTTCTGTTCTGCGATTTATTTCGTTGTCTTCCTCTTCTGTATTTTATCTAATACCTTTTTCGTGAGTTGGAAACAATTTCTGATTTGAGATTCGTAATGCAATAGTTTCTCGGCAGGTTAGCTGATGTTTTTCCTTTTTGGTTTTTGTTTGTCGACTTTGTTGGATGTAATAATTCTGCAGCTTGATTGATGATTTGTAGGGAGGTTCAGAATACACTCATGGTTGTAAGTTGTTTCTCTTAAATGCTTGGCTTGCATTTCCTGCCTAGGTCGCGATTTACTATTCCTCGTTGTTTCTGCTAGTACATGCTATAGGCTCAAATTCAATGATCGGTTTTCCATCTGGAACGGCATTGTTGAGAAGATATTTTTGTTTAGGACTCTCTGCGTTGGCATATAAAAAATTATGAAGATCTTGCATTAGAATATGTTTTACTTGACGGCCTTACCTAAACTGGTAGACCGTGTCCTGGAGTTCTAAAGTATACGTCGCACTGCTACAAAAACAACCAATTGTTTGCTCGGCTATTTCTTTATTGTGATGGAACATTTGAGTGCATATATGATATACCATACTCAGCCAGTCAGTCAGTCACTCTATCTCTGTTTTTTTTGGGTCAAATGATTTTTCTCTTTACCATAAGGAGGATGGAATAGATTTTTGACTTATATTCCTATTTGTCATTAGTCTCCAAAAGGGAGAAGCGTGAGGAGCTAACCATACTAGGAGGCGACTAGCTTGGGCCACCTTTTGGTGAATGGGTTGTTAATCCAACAGGACTGCTGATATAACTTATATTCACATGAAAGCTGGTTTTTTCTATTGTTATATTATTTTGAAAAAATTAGGATATGTAGGAAAAATTCCAGGTTAGATTGGGGCATTTTGTGAATCAAACTTGGAACCTCTAGCTCCAAAATGATAATCATACCAGAGTCACGCCATTGGCCAAATGCCTTTTAGTACCTGTTGTTCTATGAATTCAACTATATCTATTTCTTACTTAATCTTACGCTCACATAAAATTACTTTATTGTCAGTTCTCTTTGAGATCTGTTTCACGCTGGGCATCAGTATTCAAATAACTTGCTGGTTTGCGACAACATAAATGAAATCTATGTGCAGTTTTAAATCTTGAGCTAACTCAAGTCAGGGTTCTGCAAAAGTTATTTATAGCAGACAGATCAGAAACTTTATGGACGATGCTGATAGCAAATAAGGGGAAAGGGAGAAAAGTCCAAGTATAATTATTTTGACAGGCTATTTGCTTATTTTGTTTTGCTTCAATTGATTAACTAATTGGCTTATTTTGGCTATTGTGTGGCACTTATAAGTTAACCATGCCACACTGTGAGCTCAGTAGGGTATTGCAAGCAAGCCATAACCCTTCCAAGAACAATACATCTGACCTATTGTTCCTTCAATTAATTGAGAATTTGTGAATAAATTCCTATAAAAGGTTTCATTAACAACGCAGCCGTCTTATGAGCATATTTTACTACTTCATCTAAATATAGTCATTGGTTCAAGAGGAACCAAACGATCTTTGAAGACAAATCCAGAGTTTGGTTGAAGTGATTTGATTCAAAAGCTTCAGAATGTTACTCTCTTTCTAATATGTTTGCTCATTATTCTTTTAGCTAAATAGCAATGTTGGTATGAACTGAGATGCCTTCATTTTCCCTCCTTAGTATTTTGTTTCGTTTTATTTATCTCTTTCACTTTCATTGGAAGTTTGTATCCTTTGAATAGTTGTTGTAACTTTTGATTACATCAACGAGAAGTTTGTTTCGTTTTTTGTTAGGAAAAAATGATCTTTCACTTGATGCATTTACTGCCTTTGACATTAAAGTTTGTTGAAAATTTGAAGGGTTTGTGTTCTAAGTACCTTTTACAAGGGTAATAAAATCCAATAAAAGGTGCACTGCAAAGTTGTAGATTAGAGGAGAATAAAAGAGAAAACTCTCGAACAACTAAGGGATTTTTTATTTTCTATCTTCACTTGTCACAAGTTCTAAACTCCTCATGAAATTCCTAGTACACAAAATGAAATGCCAAAAGCCTCAAGTTATATAGACTGAGAATTGTCTTCGTATTAGAAGTGGGAGTAGTGGCTGGTAATTCGAGAGTCCTCCTCTCACCTACTCACCAAACTACTGAAGTGCCTTTATGTCTTACGAACTTACATTGTAGCTACTTAACTCCCTCATATTCTTAGTGTGCTAACGCCTCTCCACACGTAGTTAGTAACTAACAGATTAACAGAAGTGGAGCCTTGCTACACAGTCACTCTCTACCTTGATTCACCTCTCTCACTCTCTTCCTAGTGTTAGTCAGACAAATGGGACGGTTCTCAAACCTATCAAAATGCTATTCAAAACTGTAACTTTCAGAACTCCTCTTGCATGTAAAGCAAATATATCAGAAGACGATCCACTGCCCACCATTGATTTCTTATCATATTCAGTTTTATTGAAGGTTCAAGAGGATCAGAGTTTACTGTTTTACATTTCAACCCATAGACCCGAGAGCTTAATATTGTTTTATTATCATCCAGTTATTGTTTACCAATAGATGCATTTCAGGCAAACAAAATAAAATTGGTTCATCCTCGTGAGCATTAGTAATAGTAGGACTGGGCTATAGGTATGAACTAATTTCCCTCTATCTTATGTAAATTATAATGTTTGTTTACTTGCCCTTTATTTCATGTGGAATCTTGGAAGAAGAATGGTATAGGTCAAAATCTTCAAATCTTAAATTTCAGATTTCATACTCTTGACCCCAATGATAATAGTAGTAAGTTGATTGCATAAGTGGAAAGATAGATAAAAAGAAGATCTTATTCAGGAGGCACATTCTGAGAATTGATCTTGGAACCTCTCACACCCTAAGCTAGAATCACACCACTAGACCAAATGTTGATGTTGAGGGAGAAGAGAACTATAATATTAGATTCTTTTGTTTTTAAATTGCATTTTGCTCTCTCTCTCTTGTAGTCTTAAGGAAATAAGAATGAGTGGAGATGGATTGTATCGAATGTGTTTCTAACTTTAGTATTTGATTGCATAAGTGGCAGTAAGTTGATTGCATAAATGGAAAGATTGAGAAAAGAAAAAATAGTTCAAGTGGGGCATTCCAAGAATTGAACTCGGGACCTCTCACACCCTAAGTGATAATCATACCACTAGACCAAATGCCCAATGTTGATATTAAGGGATAAGAGCACTATAATATTAGCTTATTCGGTTTCTAAATTGCGTTTTGCACTCTCTCTCTTTATGTCTTGTAGTCTTAAGGAAATAAAATCTGAGTGCAGATGGATGGCATCAAGGTTTTTCTTACTTTAGTGTTTGTATTTTCATTTTTCAATCAAGCTGCAATACAAGTACTTAATTTTTATTTTTCGTTTTTTCCAACCTTATAATCCATTATTTGTTTGGTCAAAAAAAAAAAAATCCATTTTTTGTATTGTTTTATTTGTATATGATCTGCCACCTTTTCTCACGTTTGATTGGTTATTCAGACCAATTCATTGTTTACTTTACATAAATGAGTACCCGTGTGCAATGTCATATTTTATTCAATTTAGATTATGAGCTGATCCATGATATGACTCTTGTCAAACTTCTGTAGTATTAGGTAACATATAGGAAACTGTTGCAAGGGGAGGGGTAATAATCCAACTCCTTAATTTAACCTGAAAAGATATCTTAAATAATGTTGACATGCAGGCATCTAGGTCGACTTTCATATTGGTATTGATATTGATATTTGAAATTTAGGTTCTTTTTTGGTTTTTGAATAGATCTATCGCTTTCTAGCGAACCCTTTACAGCTATACCTTCTGAGGTCCCAATACAGTGAATTCTCTAAGCTGCATTCTTTAAAATATTTTGTGGTCGGCAGGGATAGTGAAAGCTATTGATTTTTCATATCTACCAAACCCATTTGACATATAGCCAAAGATAAGTGATATGCCTTTTATTTAACCAAAGAAAAAAAAAGAAAAAAGAAAAAAGAAAAAAAATTTGGTTTGTCACTTTGTCTGTTGAGTTAAAATTTTAAATACTTGATATTAAAATTGGGTTGGAGTTTAATATTGAATTTATCTTCCTTCTTTGACATAACTATGCGTAATGTTAAACAGTAACAGTGGAATTTCACAATCTTTTTTGCCTTATTAAGAATTTGTCCAACTTTTGATCGACGAAATTAGACTAGGGTTTTGTCATGCAGTATTAACTATTCAAGCTCTTATTTCTATCCTAAAATATGAGGTAAAATGCTTACCTTAAAGTACAAGTTTGGAAAACTAAATGGGGAATTCTGAGAATTGAACTTGGGACCTCTCACACCCAAAGCAAGAATCATACCACTAGACCAAATGCCCATTTTTGTACACATTCTTGCCAGCTGTTGATTAGCATGATTTCTTGGATGTTGTTTAAGTCTCAGTTTCTAAGAAGCCCACTATTCATTCTCTTTTATTTCTCAGGCTGTCATCCTGGAATTTGTTTTTCAGATCAACCTCTTGTTTGTTTGCTTAATGCCAAACTGGAACTTGTTATTCAGGTTAACTGCTTCTTTGTTTACTTAAAAGTTAATTAATTTTAGAATGTTGACATAAATGATATCCATGTGCATTTATTAATATTTTATTCATCTTAGATCTCGAGCTCAAGGTGTGAGTGATTCTACTGTAATTATTAGTACTAGATCAAGAACTTTACTGTGCAGATATTTTAATAACTAATAAGAAAAAGAATGTCATAGTCTAGAGTTTAAGGCAACAAGCAGTTTATGGTTTGGATCTCTTTTGCCTAAGGTACAATCTTATATATATATATTTTTTTTTCGAACAAAATACGAACTTTTCATTGAAAAAATGAAAAGAAACATTGTTCAAGACATAAAGACAAAAATACAGAATCTAAACAACAGAATTACAAGGCCAAATAAAAACATCCCAATTGTTAAAAATAAGAGAAAGGGAGTAACGTGAGAATGACTCAGAAAGAGAACACCAATGAGATGCTTTGAGTTTGGCGGAATGAGAGACAATCAAGCAGAGATCTTCTTTTACTCTTAAAAATCCTCGATTCCTTTTAAAAATCCTCGAATTCCTTTCAAACCAGATTTCTAAGAGAAAACTCTTCACCACATTAATCCACGGAAGTCTTACAGTAGGTGATAAGTGTGTGACTCTACTTAACAATTGAGTCAGATTTGCTTCAGCCCTCAAATAAAAAACCCAACTGATCTTGAACCGATCAAAAAGAGAAATCCAGCCTTGAGTGCCAAAAGTTAACGTACTGGCACGTGCATTTTGTTCTTTTTTGAAACAAGAAAAATTTTGATTGATAAAAAGATAAAAAAATGTTTCGATACAAACTCCTAAAGAGAGTGAGTGAAAAGAAAACAAGCTGCTAAACAAATAAAGTTAGCATGTTTATTTGGATCTAGATTTTCTGATTTCCTGAGTTGATGTTCTAGTTTTCTGC